TTTCACTTGCTAACTAGCGGTGACTTGAGGCAATTCTTAACACTCTCTGTGAAAAAAAAAAAAAAAAAAAAAGAGAGGCTTGCAAGAGTCTGATAAGTACTGGCCAGCTTGTCCTATGGACATTTGGATTATGTGAACCAGGAATGGGACAATCTAGAACTATTAGTATTATTATTTTGAGACAGAGTCTCGCTCTATCACCAGGCTGGAGTGTAGTGGCACATAGAACTATTATTAAGGGGCAGTGTAACATAGTGTCTAGGAATTTGGACTCTGGGCTCTCATCCTGTTTCACTTGCTAACTAGCGGTGACTTGAGGCAAATTGCTTAACCTCTCTGTGCCTGGGTTTTCCCATCTGCTGAGTGAGGATAGTAAGAGCAGCTCTGGCATAAGCACAGCTGTGAAGATTAATAATAAAGTGCTTGGAGTTGTGTTTGGCACAACATACCCACTCAGTAATCGTTAACTGTTAGCAAATTCTCACCCTGTGAACAAATCTGAAAAATGCAAATCCTAAAACACTTTAAACGTTAATCAATAAACTCATCATTCTGAGCTGGCATCCAAATGGATTGCAAACTGTGTTTGTCACAATTGCCACGTGGTGGCGTGCCTGCTGCTGGCTCTGAAGAAATTGAATTATGCCAGTTCTGAATGGTGCCAGGCCTTCAGGAGGCTGGCCACTGTGAGACATGCTAACCGTCCTGCAGTACAGCCCAGGGGCTGCTTAGGCAGGAAAGCACACAGAGAAAAAGGGCCAGGCTTGGTAGAAGGGGGTTGGGGTCAGCGGGCTGGCAGGGGCAGAGGACAGAATCCTACACAAAGCAGGCCGGGGGAAAGGAGCAAGACTCCCCTGCTAGGGCAGGGCAGAAGCCATCTGAGAAAGTCTCTCGCTTGCCCTTTATCTCTTGCGAGTACCATGGCCTTTTCTCTGCTAGCTTATTGACTCACCTGCTCCATTTTCCCAGTTTCTTTGCCCCCTCATCACCTGGACTGACCACAGCACTGACTCCAGAGGCTGTCGAGCTCCCCCTGCTCACTGCAGTCTTTAGGTGAAGGGAGAGGTCACGATGGATATGTTCAGGTCAGAAAGGTTCGTGGAGGAGTGACATTCACTGAGAATCTGAAAGACACCCCAGGCAGAGACACTGTAGGTGCACACAAAGCCAGGGAGTGGTACAAGAGCTTGGGCCTTAAAGAAATGGGAGATGCCTGGGATGGTGGGAGTGTCCAGTTCCTGAAAATGGGAACAAGGCTCTCAGGGGCACCAGCCTCAAGGGGAGCTCGTATGCCTGTGAGGGACTTGAAGCTTTCTCCTGGAGCCAGAAGACCCTTACAGACAGATGTCAAGCAAGTAAGAGACATGATCAGATTGGCATTTTAAAAAGGTTTCTCCCCAGCAGTGTGGATGCCATATTGGAGGGGGCTGAGTTCTGAGGTGAAGCCCCAGTTAGGAGACTTCTGAAGTCATCCAGGTGAGAGGGGAGAGGCGGGACTGGAGTAGCTGGGGCTGCATTATGGCTCCGGCAGTTTCCAGCTGTGTGATCTTCAGCACATTACTTACCCTTTCTGAGTTTTATCCCTAGCGGTGCCTGGCATATAGCAGGAGCTCAGCACATATATGTTGAATGAATAAGTGAATGAATGTCAAGAACCCATCGACATGCATGGCCAGACTGAAGACAGAACACCATGCCGAGCCTGAAAGGATGCTCGTGTCACTGGACTGGGAGCCTGGGGAACATCTCCAGACTTTCCAAATCCCGGGCCTTGCTCGCTCAACCCATCGTCACCTCTTGCCTATCTCCCACCTTGCCCTTGGAATAAAAGCCACTGAGATGGGGAGGCAAAACTGCAAATGGACTGGCCCTGCCACGAAGGCAGGGTTCTTGCCAGGCTGCAAGAATCGAGGGTAAGGTCCCAAACCTGCCCCGTCTGCTTCAGTCTCCAGAAAGGCCTTCCTGAAGGAGGCCAGGATAGCAGAGGCGCCAGTCTCAGGTGGAAGAGGAGGTGAGCTTTCACCCTGTCTCTCATTCTGTTTCCTGACCTGTAGTGGTTGAGAGGCAAAGAGGTGCCCAGCTCTCCTTAGACTACTGCATCTCTGTCCCCTCCACTCAGCCACAAACCTTTAGGCAGGCACCCAAGCACCGCCCGCGCTGCGCGGGTCCGGAGCCGTTCTCGACAGCGGTGGCAGCCTCAGCCGCGCTCACCTGCATCTCCCCGGAGTGCCCGCCAGAGCGCGCTGTTGGACAGCGAGCAGAGCCACGCTTTTGGGGCGGAAGAGCGGCGAGGTCAGCACCACGGACTGGAGCACTCTGGGCGGGTGGGGAGGACGAGCGGAGGACGTGGGTTGGAGCGCAGGAGACCTTCAGGAGCTCCTACGCCCTCTAAGAGGCTTGGCGTAGTCCAGCCAGGTCTCGGGGACGCGCGGACACCAGCCTCCCCAGCCTCAGGTCTGGAATCCCGCGGGTTGGGGGACCGGGCGGCGGCATTGTGAGGGTTCGGCGGAGGCGCCAGGGGGCGCTAGCTGGCTCCTCGCCGCAGATCCAGGCCGCGGCTGTTCCACGAGGTCCCGCGCCCCGCGGTCCTGGCCCAGCGGTCGGAGAAGGTGCGGCGGAGACCACCCGTTCCTCCTCTCCCTCCCTCCCTCCCTCCCTCTTCGGCCGGCGGGGAGTGGCGCCCGCCATCCAGTGCCGCTCCTTCGCGCCCTGCATCCCCATCCGCACCCTTTCTCGGCCAAGCTTCCCCGCGCCGCCGTTCCTGGTATCCGCGCCGGTCCCCGTGGCTCCTCCACGGCTCTCTCCTGGAATTTAGCTTCCGGGAAGAGTTTGGCCGATTCACAGACTGGAGAAGGCGGGCCCGAGCAGAGGCCCGAGTGATTTCGAGAAGCCCGGTGGCTGGGCGTCGATGTTCACCCTGCACTCAGTGACCCAGTAACCCCAGAGCAGGAGGAACACGCTCGCTGCGGGGTAAGGCAACCTTCTGGCACCGAGAAAAGATACGCAACAGCAAGCCATCGTTGTCTGTACACTGTCTCTGGGAGCTCTGCTCCTCTGAACCTCGACTTTCCCCAGGCACGCACCTCAGAGCTGAGCCCCCTGGGGACTCCCAAGCTCTGCGTCTCCCTGAGTCCTGAGGCAGGAGAGGAGGAGGCTGCAGGGGCGGACTGAGCCTCCTCCCCACAGCCGTACCCTGGCGCCCTGGAAGCCTGAAACGTACATCTGAGGCGAGAGCGACTCTTGCCTCTTTTCCAGTGAGCTGGGGGAAAGTTACCCTCCTGAGGAGACCGACCTTCGAGGGCGACATGAGCGCGTGTTTGGGGCAGGAACCGGCCGGCCCTCCCTGCTGTGCTACCCCCTGAAACTGGATGGCCCCCCTTTCATTCCCCCGGCTCAGGAGAGGCTTGACCCTACGGAAGCTCAAGGGCGCAGGCCTGGAGGAAAGAGAGGAACAGAAATCCAGGCTGTAGGGGAGCAGCTGGAAAGCTGGAGAAGTCGGAGGAAGGATGTCGCTGGCTGTTCTTCCCCCACCCCCATTCCTGAGGTTGGGGCTGCAGCCCCCTCAAAACCTGCCCTGCAGGTCCAAGTAGTACCCAGCGGTCAAGCAGTAGAATTTGGGCAGGACCCCGGAAGAGGCTTGCAGGATGGGACAGAGCCCACAAGAATCATCCGAGGCTGCACCGCGCCCAGTCCCTCAAGACAGAGCGAGACCTAAATAACCCCCGCGCGCGGACCCGCAGCGTTCTGTGACTCTACCGCGGAGTCCAAAAGGCAGCTGAGGGTGGGAGCGGAGGGGACAAGAGGGGGGCCGCCGGCGCCCGGCGAGTAAGGCGCGTCAATGGGCCGCAGGGGCCGGATCGGTGGCCTAATGGATTCAGGCCTGCATGGCAGAGGCGCACCCGGCGGCCTGTCCGCGCTCTCAATAGCGGACAATGGAGTCCCGGGGTGACCTGAACAAAGAATTTGGAAGTAGTTAAACTGCAGAACACGTTCTGGGCCTGGGTGCCTCCTTTCAAAAGGAGCGCTGGGAGAAGAAAAGAAAGCACTGGGGGGTGAAGGGGGTGAGAAAATGCCCAGGGGAAAAGTTGGTAGGTCGCCCTAGTTGCCGCCAGCTACCAGACGCCAGGAATTCAATAGGAAATGGGGGAGGGGTGGCCTAAGTCTACCAGACCTCAAGCAGAGTCAGATAAAGTTCTCCAGGAGATGACTGGGGTTCAGGAGCAGGGCTGAGCTTTCGCCCAGGGCAGGAAGCACCTACCCCCACAACACACACACACACACACAAACACACACACACACAAACACACACACACACGGTCAAGGCCAGGAGAAGCTTCCCTAGGGCTTTGGAGCTAGAACAGGGACCAGTGAGTGGAGGGGGTGTCTGCGCCCCTATGTCTAACCATACATGGCGCTGCTTCCCTCCTTGGCTGCTCTAACAGGAGGACAGGGCCTCCTCTTTAAGCCCTTTCGCAGAGCTTGTTTTAGTTTTTCCTTCCCCATCCACTTCAGAAAGACTGGGTTCTCTCAACCCCTTTTTCACTCCCCACCCCACACAACCAGCAATCTAGGTTCTTCTATGAGAATATATGTTTTTTATTTTAAAGTCAGGCCTCTAGGTGTAAAATATAGGGCCAATTATTATTTTATTTCATTTTTTTCTAAATTTTCTAATTTTTCCACAATGAGCACAGCCACAGCATAGGAAAAGAAGACATTTAAAAGGCAGTCAGTTATACTGGTATCAAACTAACTTAGAAGAGGAGGAACTTGAAAGACTGTGGAAACCAAAAGGGTAAATAAAATGATGGAATAAATGGTTAGGAGAGGAGCCGAAAAGAAGAAAGGAGCGGTGGCTGCCACGTTCGTGGGAGGCGGTGCCTCTGGAATCCTAGAGAACACTCCCTGGCCAGGAGGCTTCCCCGTGTGGAAGGCGCTTGGCTTGCAAGGGGTTAACAGTATTGCTCATGAACTTGGCCTGTCTGGCTGGCTCGTGATGAATGGTGAGACCTGCTGACAAGTTCAGCCTAGGGACCTCCCCTGCTGTGGAAGTGGGAGAAACACACGCAGGCGGAGGGGACCCGGGGCGAGTCACCAGGGGCGCGTGGTTCGGCGTGCCAGGAGTGCTGCTCTGCCTGCTCTCTTGGCTTCTGTCTCCCTTCGGCCGATCGCCCCCTGTCCTGAAGCTTTCCAATATCATCTTGGAGCCCCAAAGTTTCCTGGGTCCTCCGCGTTGTGTGTCCCAGAACCCCTTGCCCTCCCCTGCGGGAAACGTGGAGCGGGACTTCGGGAGCCGGCCCAGGGGAGGCCAGATTCAGCATTTGGACAGCGGCTCCGGGGCGCAGTCAGCCCCGCCGCGCCGTCGGCCCCGCGAGTTTGCAGGTGCACAGCCTCGGGCAGTTGGCGGGTAGGAGGGCCGCGGGGCTGCTCTGGGTCTTGGAGAAGCAGGACCCAGCCTGGAGGGCATTCCAGCTCCGAATGGGACATGTTTTCCCGAGCTAAAAGATCCCTTCTGAGCTCACACGGGCCCCCCCCCCCCCCCCCCCGGCACCAGCCAAGCCAGCGTGGATATCCCCAGCATAACCAACACCTATGCTGGGGGTGAAGACAAGACGCCCCCTTTCAGCCCGGAGGTGGACTCCCCTCCTGCTCTCAGCTCTCCATTCTTCCCAAAGCAGCCCGGATCCCTGAGTCTGGAGCTGCCAGCGAGGCTTCCAACCCGCTGCTTGCCATCACCTCCCAGGTCGTTGGCGGCTCCGGGAGAGTCTGGCGGCGCAGGAAGGAGAGAGGGGACGAATGGCGTTGCGACTCCCAGGGAAAAGCTGGGAGGCAAGCGGGGCGTGGGGAGGAAAGGCCAAAGCACACGGCTGGGTGCCCCTCACAGCCTGCCTCCGCCCCCTCCATTCCGCACTGGTCGGGGTGAAGGGGGGAGCGGGGGGAGTCGCGCTGACGTCACTGCGGGCCGTGCCCGCCCGAGAAGGCGGCGCTGGGAGCCGCTCAGAGCCCAGAGAAGCGGCGCGCGGCCAGGAGCCCCAGATCCGCCACTGCCGTGCCTGCCTCCCGCAGCTGTCTGCCATGCGCTCGCCGGGGCAGGGGCGCCCGGAGAGCGGCGGGAGCTGGGCCTGAGCCCGGGAACGCGCCTGATCGGGGCGGAGGAGCCGCTGTCCCCACAGCCGCCCCACCCGCGCCGCTGCCTCGCTGGGGCCCGGGCCCCCTTCCTGGTCCGTAAGTGCCACTGCCCGCTGTGTCTCGGCGAGGCTGGGGAGCGAGGGCTAGGGAGTGAGGGCGGTGGCTTCGGCCAGGGCAGCGTCAGGGAGCTGGGCTGGACTGAGAGAGGGGGCTGGGGCATCCCTGCCCGGCCCCCTTGGGCAGCTCAGGCAGCTGGGGCTTCCCTTTGCCGCTGGGGCGGGATGAGGGGTGCGCTCCCACTGCGGGTGGGAGGCAGGACCCAGTCATCCCGGGCAAAGGGTTGTGGGGCAGTGGGAAGCGCCCAGAGGTGAGGACTTTGGGTGAGCGGAAAGGGGAAGGGTGCAGGGTCAGTTGGAAGTTGTGGACATCAGACAGGTTTAGCAGAAAGGAAGGTTTCTGAAGTGAGGTTCCTGTGAGTCCCAGGATCGCCCTCTCCCTAGCCACTGCCCCCTACCCCTTCCTTCTTATCCCCTCCCCCACAAAAAATAATAACCTAGAAAGCAGCTTCCTGAAAAAAATATTTTGAGAAAAATGCACCACACAGCACCCACTCTAGACAAGATTTACGACGTTTTTCCCCCCCTGAAATGGGAAGTTGTTGGGAAATCCTATCCACTCTGCTCCCCACTCCGCGCCCCAGAATAGGCCTCTTTGGTCTGTCCGTGGGCGTCTCTGCAGCCTCCTCCAGCCTAGGCTCCACTGAGCTGGAGAAGAATAAGGGCAGCAGTGGAGGTTGAGCCAAGTGAGGGGCTTCTTTGGGAGAAGGGTTGGTGGGGGAGTTGGTCCAGTTTGGATCCATCAGAGCAGGAGGTAGCAGAAGCTGGGAGAAGTTCCAGGGTCAGATCACAGAAGCAGTACTGGAGTCCAGAAAAACACAAGGAGCCTTTGTGGCTGGGGATAAATCGAGGTGCTGGGCCTGGAGGGAGCCCCCTTTTGTGTCCCCATATCCTGGAGGAGGGGGATTCTTAAGCCATGGAGTGGAAGAGGATGGAGTTTGAGGGTCTACCTTTCAATCAAGGAACAGTGGCCAGAGGTTAGGCTAAGTAGACACTGAGATGGGGGCAGCATACAGGGTCCCCCTCAGGACTTCCATTAGCAGTATCTGCTGCTGGAGACCCCAGGGAAGGGGTACTCCTTTGTCCAGGTCTTTTCAGGAGGGGTGTTTTCAGGTTCTTGCCCAGTTTAGGCCTCCCCAGAGCCCACACCTCAGCTGCTGAGGAGAGAGGCTGGATGTGGGAACCAAAGAGAGCATTAGCGCACAATTGACCATGTGTACGTGAAGGTGGGTGTGCAGGCTTTGGGACCTCCTGGGTACAGGGAGCTGGGTCTATCTGAACTGGGCAATGCTGGGTCTCTCAGCTAGCAGTCCTGCCAGCCTCCAGACAATAGGGAGATCAGCTTAATCAAAGCTTGGGCCTGAGGAAGGAACAAGGGAGGGAGGGGGCAGTGGGGTGAGGGCACCCTGGACTTAGCCTAGATTGTGGCTGGAAACACTGTCTCCTAATTAAGAACCTTTGGGGCTCAGGAAAGGAGCACTAGCTCCAGGTTGAATCGCAGGCTGGGTGGCTGCATCTACCTGGAGTAGTAACTGGGGAGTTCCATTGGCCTCCGGCTCCCAGCCTCTAGATCAGGGCAAGTCTGATCTCAGTAGAAGGGTACCTGCACAGGGCTATTGACTAGGGTCAGAACTGTCCCCTTCTCCTGCCACTTAACCCCTTAATTTGTTATGTCCTGAAATAGAAGACACACTCCTGTGGATTGTCAGGTCCCCTGCACTGAGTTGTATAACTACCAATAGGAAACAGGAACTTGGGCCAAAGCCAGCTTGGAGTCCAAGCAGCTGCCACTGCCAGTGGGTACAAGAGTGTACACGTGTACAGACATGGGCAAGGTACCAGCCACCTGTCTTAGACTGGCTGCTAGATGGGTGTATGGGCCAAGTGTGTGAGCGGGTATTGTGCAGATTTGCTGAGTCGAGGGAGTGCAGGACCTGCATGTGTTTGCAGTAGGAATGGGCATTTCCATTGATCTGGATATGGGAGTTTCATGGCCCAGGGGCTCTCTTTCCTCGGTAGAGGTTTGAATATGAAAAATTGAGTCCCAGGCCCTCAGTGGAGGCACCTAGTTGCTGAGGCTTTCTCTTTCTCTGGCTGTTAGCTTCTCCTGGTAGCTGCAGGTGCCCCTGGAGCCTGGGTTCAGGACTGAGGGGAGGAGGTGGAAGAAGTTCAGGGCAAGTTGGGAGGTGGAGAGGCAGGCCTGGCAGGCAGCTGTCAGCACCATGGCCAGGGCCCGACCACTGCCACTGGTGCTTTGGCCTGGGTGCCCAAGTGGCCAACCAGACCCAGTACCTGATCTTCCGAAAATTTAGGGACTGTGCTGGGGCTGAAGGCCGAGGCTGGGGGTTTGGTGTGAGGAAAGCCCATGGAACCCAGACCCAGCCTGAATTGCAGGCAAAGGGGCAATCTGGGTCAATGCTGGTGGCAGGTTAGGTTCTCCCAACTTGGTCTCTGAATTGGCCTGCCCAGCAGTCTGCCAGCCTCAGCTGGCAGTGCCCAGCCCACACAATGCGCTTTTGCCTGGTGTCGACCTGGATGGCTTCCCGGGCTCCTGTTAAGCTGTGTGTGGAAGCTGGCTGCCAACCCACGGAGACTGCAGCTGCCTTGACCCACCGGAACAGCCTCCTCTCAGGAGCCTATGGCCTTGAGTCTCCGTCTTTCTGTGGCTTTCTTCCAGGGAATGGGGCTGCAGTGAGGTGGAGGAGGCACTGATTTTGGGGCAGGTCCCACTCAAGCAGGGTGTGGGAGCCTCCCCCTGGCCAGCCTCACTTGCTCCCAAAAGGGACTCGATTTCCCAAAAAGACACTAGAGTTGTGGCTCTGATGCATCTGAACTGAATTAAAATCAGGCTTTTAATTTTTTCTCCCAAAGCCCCAACCCGCCCTAGGCTTGCAGGCTGGCCTCCGCGCGCGGTTACCGTGAGTCTCGCTGAGGAGCCATTTTGTGCAGCATCCTGCTTAAATCACACTCTGAGGGGCTCGTTCCTCGCTCTCTCTTCCCCCTCGCTTCCTCTCTTTTTTCCCTCTCAGGTGAACCATGCTTCTGGGCCTCTCCCTGCCTCCGCAGCCCCACCCTTCCCACCCCTGGGTGGCCCCAAAAGGACTAGGGCTCTGAAGGCCGCCCACACACACATCAAGAAGGGAAGAGGGTGCAGGTTCCTGGAGCTGCAGGAGGAGGGGAAGCAAGGGGCGCCTCCCAATTATGGAAATCCCAGGAATTAACTGTCTCGGGCCCAAATTCAGAGCTTCCTTCCTGAACCGTGAGGGGCCTCTCTGATCCTCTGCTGGTTCAGCTGTCCAGCCCTTGTTCACCTTCTGGAAAAAGGAATGTGTCTGTGAAGTGGGATTTCGAGGGAGACATGTAAATGGTAGGTTTGGTTGGTCACAAGCTGGCTGGGATGAGAGCAGGATGTCACCTGCCTCGGATTTAGAGTTGGGATGAAATTAGAACAAACTACAGACAAGTAGTGGGGAAAGAGGCACTTGACAAAATCCGAAACTTGACAAAATCCACGTGTGTCATTTTTAGGGGAGTATACGGAAGGAAGGGGCTTTTAGTAAAATCATGAAATATTTTCCAAACCATCCACTTTTGGCCCCTTCTTTCCAACCCATCCTACCAGGATTTTGCCTGGCCCAGAGTGGCCCAGTGCCCCAGACCCCACTAAAATGAATCTGCGCGTGTAGCTCCATCTAACCCCACAGTGCTCACTGTAGACAGCAGCAGTGAGAGTCTCTGTGACTCCCGTGTATTGACGGCTGGCATCTGGGAATCCACTTGCCTAGTCCCACGTAAAATCTCTCCCTAGCTATTGGGCTTAAGATTTTTCTGGGGGCATCTAGGAGCAAAGATATTGCATTTTTCATATTTAATCCTTTGCCTCTTGGGGATGGCTGACAGGTGGAGGTGAATCATAGGGCTCAAGGCTGGAGGGTAGCCACAGCAGCAGGGAAGAAGGGGGTGATGGCTGGGATGAGCACAAAGTGGTACCCATAGGCCACTCACTTCTGGAAGGCTGCAATGTTACCACCAATTCAGCTGCCAGGCTCAGTTTAGGGGTGATTCTGGGAGACCCAAGGTGGCAGTCTCTTTCCACTGTTGTGGCTACTCGGAGTGAGTGGGACACGTGTGTGCTGAGAGCTGGAGAAGGAGAGTGGAGGCATGGCTTTGTGCTTTAATTTTTGGTGAAATCTGAATTTAACCAGGAGCCAAGATAGAGCCTAGGACTTCTCCAAGGTGCTTGGCACAATCAGTTTTACACTGCTAGTGTGGTTAGGAACCGAGAGAGAGAAGGGACCCAGCAGCCTGGTACTCAGGGCCAAGGCCAAGGCCTGGCCCAAGTGGAGCATAGCTCAGGAACCTCTGAGTGCCAGGTGTTATGGGTAGGACACCGACCTGCGCTCACCCGGACACTTAATTCCTCCCCCAATCTCTGGTCTCTGCCGTGTGGGTTAGATCTACTGCAAGTGCTGGGCATGGGGAAAGGAAGAGAGAAGTTAAACGTGAAACGGCTTCTGCTCTCGGCCTCTCCGTGAGCGCTCTCGGCCCTCCTGTGGAGATCTCCAGGTCCTATCACACGAATCCCTAAACCTTGTCACTCGAGCATTCTTGTCTCCCAAACTCTGATGGTCCGCAGTGGCTACTGGGCTCCCTGGGCCCTGGGAGGAAGACGGAGGAGTTTGGGGGAAAGACTAGACGGTGCGCACCCAAGCGCGCAGCCCTAAAGCTTCTGAGGGCAGAGGGGGCGCTTCCTTGCCCTCCGGGCTGGGAAGCCGTGAACGCCGAGGCCATTGTAAGGCTGGGTGGTGCGGAGCGCGGGAAGGGGGCTGGGATTTGAATGAGAGCCTGTGATTGGCCGATCCCTGGACTGACGTCACTTCCCCGCGGGGCGATTAGCCTGCGAGAGAAGGGCCGGCGGTCCAGTGCGCTGGGGGCGGCAGGGGCGCCCGAGGCTCTCTAAGCGCTCGGCGCGGGTGCCCTCCGTGCGCCCCGGGACGCCGTCGAGGCAGGCCGCCAGCGCCGGTGCCTGGACGCGCGGAACGGGGAGCAGGGGAGGAATGCGCCGGGAAGGCGAGGGAGGAAGGGAACTGGGCGGGGGCTGTCGGCCTCTGTGGCGGGAGTCAGCGTGTGCATGTGTCTGTCCATTCCCTCTGGTTCTCCGCTTGCGCCCCGGGATCCGGGAACGGCGTCAGCTCAGGCTTCCGCGCCCGGCCGGCAGCAGCACGTGGAGCCCACGGCGCGGCAGCGGCAGTGGCGAAGGGAGGCCCGTTTCTCTCTTTGGTTATCTAGCTGTATGAGTGCCACAGAGCCGTCATAAAGCTAGATAACCGAAAGTAGAAATGACTCTCACAACTTCTGCGTGCGAGCGCCCGCCCCGCCGACCGCCCCGGCCCGGCCAGCAAGAGCCAGAGGAGCCGAGAGGAGCTGAGAGGAGCCCAGCGCCGGCCCAGCGGACTCCAGCTCCACGGAGCGGCCGCGCCCCGACCAGGTACCTGACCTCGGCTCTCTCTCTGGGGCCACTTGCAGTGCCAGCTTTCCCCCAGTCCTCCTCTTTCCTGGTACCCCACCCCTATCCCCCAACGCCGGAGCAGGAACCCCAAAGTGGAGCGGGCCGGGGAGAGGGAGGGGGTTGGGGTTGCAGAGGGGTCGCTGAAAGGGGAAGGCGTCAGCCTTCGCCTTCACCCCATAAATCAGGCTGGAACAATCCGCTCCCGGAGCTGCGGACGGGGATTTTGGGATGCAAATGCGATGGGAGAGAGACAGCGGTCGGTAGGGGGTGGGTGGAGGGAGTGAATGGGGTGGGCTGGGGGCTGCCCTGCCGCTAACAATGCGGCCTTTATCGAATTATTCGACGAGTCAGCCCCTGAGCGCCATTAGCATACGGCTGGGGGGTTGCCGGAGCTTCGCCCCTCGGTGAGGTCAAGTTCTTGATAATTTGATCACTTTTCACGGGCTCTGGCAGCTGCCTTTGTGTGCAGTTGGGGGGTCTGTGTGCAGCGTGAAGCGGAGCAGAACTGGCGGGGAGTGCGCTCAATGGCAAGGGGCCAGGGCAGGGGCCTCCCTCCCCGACGGGCCGGCCCTGCCCTGCATACAAACCAAGAGCCGGCAGGCGGGAGGAACCGAGCTCAGTTTCCCTACCTCTATGCTAGCCCCGGCTGGACTGCTCCTGCCCGAGCCTCCCCAACTTCCCGCAAGGTTAAGGTGCAGTCAAGCTCCCAGAGTTCCCCCTCCTCCCTGCCCCAAGAAGTCACGACATAAGATGTATTACAATGTCTAGCAAATAAAAAAGCAATTGGGGGAAATCTGAATTCGTTCCCATGGCAACCCAATGCAGCACACCCGGCCACTGAGGCTCCCAGCCCCTCTTAACTGGGCTCAGGCAGTGGGGTTTGCCCCTGCTCAGTGCGTGGGGATCCTGACCCCACACAGTGCTAGGGTCCCTCTGGAGTTTCTCATCTGCCTTCAGGTCACTTTTCACCCTGATGCCTTGGCTTGTCCTGAAGCTCAGGGCTCCTGCAGCTCGGGAAACCTCCCAAGCTCCCCAACCAGTGGCTGTAGACCAAGGAAGGGACACTGCCCGGCTTCAGGGAAGAAAGGAAGAAAGGTAGGCTCAGACTCCCTGATTGGTAGGGGGGCTTTCTAAGTATATGGGTATGTGAGTGCTGTGATAGACAGGCTGAAATGAACTGGCACCACCACCCAGCCCTGACCGCAATCCCCTCACCCTTTTACATGAGAGGAAACAGATCTGGGGATCTGAGGTGACTCCCTAAGGGTCACACAGCTCAGAAGGCAGAGCTGGACCCCAGGCCACCTTATGTACATCTTGGCTCACTTCATTCCCCAGAGCCTCTCCCTCAGTGATTTTCATGGCCCCTCTTCTCCCAGCCTTTGCCCAGCCCTCTTGTAAAAATAGAAATATTTTTTCCATCTTCACTCTTGCAAGCGTTTTTTTGTTCTTTGCCTAACAAAAGTATTTTGAAAATAGGGTATATGTGTAAATGGTGAAAATTCAAACAGTACAAAAGGAAAACCCCTTGGCTCTGAGAAGAACTGTGTGACTGAGGTGGATGGTGGAGGGAGATATTCACTGTATACCTTGGAATTGTGAACCCTGTGAGTGTGTTACCATTCACAGTAAAATTAAATAAAAATACAAACAAAAGACCAGGCAGGGAAAGTCAGCTGCCCTCCCACTTCGGTCCCCAGTTCTCCTCAGAGATAATCACGGACGGAAGGTTTTCTGAATCCCATTGTACCCCTCCTCCATTTTGAAAGGCCAGTCTCCCTTTTTTTCTGACAGGAGGCTGGTGAAGGGTGACTAGAGTGTTTTGGGATTCACGAGGCTATGGGCTGCATCCCTTGGGCCATCCCTCCCTTCCCAACGCACCTGGGAGCCTATGTGCTGATGGTGACCTCATTTCGGAGGAAACCGGAGCAGCGCTTCCTGCCCCCTTGCCCTGCACTCCCTGCCTCCCTCCCTCACCAGCCAGCGGGTGTGGGCAAACCCCAGGCCCAGGCTTCGATCTTCCCCTCCCACCACCCCTACCCCTTTGCTGTGTTGCAAGAACTAATCCTTCACTTGCCAGGGTGGCTTTGCAGCTTCCCAGCAGTGTCTACGCAGTTCAGATGAGTGTTGTTTTTAAACACCACTGTCCCATACCATCTGGGCTGGGCTGAAACCCGAGTTGAGGGTCCAATGAAGGAGGAGTCTGTGCGGGAGGGCAACGCGCATTTTTCCGCTTTCTACGAAAATCTGTTGATGCAAACCTCCCGCTTCAGAGAAAGATCGCGGCAGCAAGGCTGTGGAGGGTGATGAGCGTGCCAATTCTAATCTCCAGGAGCCCATCCCACACGTTCCCGAAATGGCCCTCGGAGAGAGGCCAGAGGCCAACTCATCCCATTTCGGCCTCCTGGTACGAGTGCCTGCCCCTAATAGAGCAATGTTCGAATCCCCCTTGGACACTTAAAGCCCAAGGCACAGACTCAAAATTAGTGCCTGGGCCCATCAACTTCTTCAGGCCTGCCTGGACCTGGAGTAGGGGGACGGGTCTGGGGCCTTCTCAGCCCCTCCTCTCCTCCATTCCTGTGCCCCAGGAAGGCCTTCCCCAAGCCTCCTCTGGCCACTGGGTCCCCACGTTTGGGCTTCATTTTTGTCTCCAGTTTGTGCTACTCTTTCTTCATCCAAAAAGGCGTTGGAGATTCCGAGAATCTGCTGCAGCTTGGAAGCCAGAATCTTAGAGAATCTCGGATACTCCTCACCCCATTCCTTTCATTTTACACCTAGAAATGGTGTAAAAAGGCCCAGTGGCTCGCGGAAGGTCGCACAGAAGGCCACTGACAGGGCAGCGATCGGGACAGCCACCGTGGTGGGCGAGGCATCCGGGGCTTCCTTTTCTCTGGTCCACGAACTCCCAACTCCGAACGCGGTGGGACTGCATGGGCCTCTGCCCGGGTCAATGAAATGCGCTGCCAAGAGGAGGCCGCGGCGCGGCCCTGAGACCTGATCTCCACAGGCCGGAGAGTTCTCTGCTGGCCGCGGCCCGACCTCCCGGGAAATGGGACCAGATCACGGAGGGAGCCTGGCCAGGAGGCCTCCTAGGACCCAGCCGCGACGCTGAAAAGCATGAAGGGTCGGAATTAGGCACTCATTTAGCGAGCGTTACTAATCCGAAGTTACAGCGCTAATTCCCTGATCCGGCCGCTCCCACACGCAGCGCCGGGATTAGAGGCGCGGCCGCCGCCCGCCCCGCCCTCACACCCCAAACGCGCCCGCCCTGCGCCCTCGAGCTTCGGGCTCAGGGCTAATCCGCCGCGCCGCGCTCGCCTGGCCCGAGCGCGCGGCGGGTCGGGCTCGGCCAGCTGGGGCGAGCCGGCCTGTTCGCTGACTCAGGCGCCCGGGTCCGGGCTGGGCAAGGAGCGCTTGGCCTGGAGCCACTGGATAGCCCAGGCGGGACGGATGCGCCCTCCAGGGCCCAGGCGAGGCCGCGCGGTGGAGAACCGCCGGGATTTCTCCAACCCGCGTATGCGCACCCACAGCAGCGGCCTTTGGAGGCCGCGGCGCCATTTTAGTGGCCTTCCTTCCCCCTTGGCATCTGTCGTGTACGGTGTGGCTGGGTGTCCCCAGTTCCCCCATCCCGCCCTGACTTTGGCTGCCCGCTCCACCAGCCTGGATAGAGTGACCAATCAGCTCTGACCTAGGGTGGGATGCACGTCACCATGGCGACGGCTAGGGCGCCCTGGCGATGCTGCCCATCGTAGAGGGCGAGTCTTCACTCCGCCTGGATGGGTGTGAAGGGAAGGTGGGTACAGGTGTGGGGGAGGGGCGGACGGAGGCAGGCTGTGGCACCTCCTCCCCATTCCCACCCCATTTTGCCTACAGTCAGTTCAGCTGGGTCAGGCTGGGGACAAATGGATGTTGTGGAAGGCGCCTGGGTAGGGGCCTGGGCTCGTTCTGGGGCGGCTCTTCCACAAGTCATCTCATCCCCCGCAGGACCTAGCTCTGGTATAAAGGCGTATCTTGGTCTCTCATCCTCTTCTATGTCTCTCTGCCAAAGACAGTGGTGTTCAGGAGCCTCCAAACGCTTGCCCCTCAATTTTCTTGCTGTTAAGTGCTGTGATTTTAGACAAGTCGCTTTCCCTAGGTCTTAGTTTTTGCATCCAGAAGATGGGCTGCTGTGCAGGCTCATGCATGGAAAGCCTTGAGTGCACACTGGGTGCTCTTTCAGTGTTAGAGCTCCTTCTCCCTTAGCAGGGAGTGCAAGACCTTTGGGGGCAGGATTCAGAACCTGAGGATGTCCTTTCTGTCCAGGGCAGCCAAGTTTGGGTTTCTGGTGGCTTCCTAGAGCCAGCTTTTCATCTCTTCTCCAGACAGCTGGCAGAGGAGGGGAGGATTTTTAAAAATAGAGCCAGGGTGGGGGCTGTGGCTGGAACAAAACCTTGGTCAGTGGCTCTGAGAATGGGGCGCTACAGCTCCTAAAGCTCTGGCTCCTTCCTTCAAGCCTGGTCTGGCTTAAGCACCACTTTAAGTGGTCCCGGCATTCACTGGCCAGCCCCTCACCGCAATTGAGCTGCAGGGGTTTGAAAAGAGGGCCAGGGCCTCAATGACAGGACCTTGGGCCAGGCTAATTGGTTTTGGTTCAAGGGGATAGTGGATTTGTGAAAAGCTCCAAACCGCCTTTCCCACGCCAGAGCCAGGCCACGGCTTTAAGGAGAAGGGTTCAAGGAGCTTGGGGCCAGGCAAGAAAGCTGGGAGCGAGGTGCCTTCAGCTGATGACCCTGCTCTCATAGCTAAGACAGCCCTCTGGTTGGAGAGGGTAGGAAGCTGTTGTGAGGCCACTTCCAGGAGCACCTGCATTTATGGCCTGTCAGGTACTCGAGAGTCAGTTGGATATATTCCTAACCTTCTCCTACACATGGCTGTGCCAAGAAAGGGGGCTCCTCCTTTGGTGTACCTTAGTGGTGGATAGGCCCCATTTTCTCAAGTGGGATCATCCAGTAAAAAAGCCAGCAATGGCCAGGTTTAATATTTCTTGCCCTAGGAGCTGGACTAAACCCAGGCTTTTATATTCTGGGGGCATTCTGGACTCTATCCTGAGGCAGGTATGCAGTTGGTCTCAAGGTGATAACCCACTTCTGTCTCTTGAAATGTCCTTATACTACCCTGGGCATGGACAAACAAAGCAGAGGTGAGAAACAGGAAGCCCTTGGTACTTTAAAAAAAAAAAAGTCAAATATTTCTATTCTCAAAAGTCCAGTATTAATTATGTTATGACTTAAATCTATCATCATTATAGATAATTTTAATATAAATGCCTTGAAGCATATATCTTAAGGTGTACCAGTTACCTATGTGTTTGGACAAAATGATTGCACATTCGTATATGTAATATACCCATTCTATGTGTGCATATATATATGTATACATGGTCTATATATCAAATCATATGCTTATATTAACAATCAGTTATGTTAAGGTTGAAGGCAGGGTGGGGTGCTATAAATCATCAGCCCCATTTAAAATAACAACGTTGCATTGACTGAGACCAGTGTTTCATGGTTCATTGTGTGTTGAGGGGAGCATTCCTATGTGATCACAGGCTGAAGAAACCCCCTACCTTTTTTATTATCATCCAAATTTTTCACTGTGTTTGCCCACTTGACGCATATAAATAGGAGAAAGGCACTTTGAAGAGATATAGAACTCTGTGTATCACATTTTCCATTTTTATTTCAATTTTTAATTGCCCAGAGCCTAATTTCTTTGGGCCTCTGCTGATTTGCACATTTGAGATTCATGTGTAAATATGTATGTGGCATGTGTGCACGCCTGGGCCTCCTTATCACAAAGTGTGCTCTCTCGGTGTTTAAATACACACAATCCACATCGACACATGATTATGGGCTTACGTATTTGCTTCTTCTCTAGAATCGGGTTAATTTTCCCTTCGCTAATCCTCAAACCCATTAAGTTCCCCACCTCCCCACCCCCACAAAAAATTGCAAACCCTACCACAGACCAGTGGTCTCACCCCACTTCTCCAGCAAGCAGTTCTCCAGGCGGGGTGCTGGAGTGAAGGTTCCTATTAGGCAGACTTCATTAATGTTACCAAATATACCCTGGCACATTTACTCGCCTACTATGAAGTATTACCATAAATAATTAAAATTAAACTGCACTTGTCAAAATAAATGAACAAAGTAGAGTTAGTGATGTCTTTGCCTTGATTTGCTTGGTTTGCTTATTCACTAATTTGAAGAAAGAAAGTGGGAAAAGCAAAGAAAGAACACTGCTACAGACTGCCATGGGATGGACAGAGGAGATAGGGAGAGAATGGGGGGGGGGTGGGAGAGAGAGACAGAGAGAGAGAGAGCCCTCAGTCATCTGCCCTTGGGTTTCCAGTCATTAGGGCACTCTGGGAGGCTGGAATGCAGCCTTTAACGTCAGCCCATAATGAATATTGAGGTGTGGATGTGGAAGGAGGGATTTCTTTGTTTACTGAGGAATGGCCATGGGAGTAGGGGAGAGGATTGCCTTTGGGGATTAAGGAGTGGGCTTTGTTTTTATAAAGGGCCTTACTTCTTTTCTGAAGTTTTCTGCAGCTAATTGATTCAATTCAGACATTCCTCTTCCCCACCCGGCCCTGGCCACGTGTTTGTGAGATGTGCACAGCCCCATTTCCCCGTCTGCTCTGGCCTCTTTTTCCACTGTGACCCTTGAAAAGGGTGTGAACCTTCACATCAACGAGATCACAGGCTATGGGGAAAACAGTAAGGGGCCGAGACCTTTGTAAGGATATGTGTGTGATACAGATGCACATACATATACACGCACCTATATTAATAGACGTATAATTTACATCTAGAAACAGATCATAGGTGTACAGTTCTGTGGGTTCTGACAAATGCATTTATACCCATGTACCCAACACCCAAGATAAACCTCACTTCCTTCATTCCAAAAACTTCTTTCCTACCTCTCAGCAGTCAATCCCTGCCAGTCCCCATTCCGATGTCTCTTACCATAGATTAGTTTTACCTATCCAGAGTTTCATAGAAATGGAATGTATGCCAGGGCTTTTAAAAATGAATTTATTTCGAGTCTGGAGGGAGCACTGTCCAGGGAGGCCTGGTTGAGCATGTGTCCAGGAGCACTGGGCTTGTGTTAAACACTGTCCCCTTGGATGGGCCCGGAAGTCAAACCTGTCATTAGATTTTTTTTTTTTTTTTTTTTTTTTTTTTGGTTGGGGGAGCTGGTGTGGGCTGGTCGTCCTCCAGGAGAGCCCTGTTCTCACCCGAGGTCTGTTAATGAGCTGGGGACAGGTGAGCCTCACACGTTCCAACTTGGCTGCCTTCAGCGGCATCCAGGAGCAGTGGTGAGCTATTAATGGAAGGTGCTGGCTTTGTGCTAATTAGAACTTCCTTTCAGCTTCCATCTGCACAGACACTGGAGCCCCTCACTGGTCAGCCTCACCGTTCCAACCCCCCTCAGTTTGCAACCTAGTTTTTGTCCCCGCTGCCCCGCCCTCCATGAATTAGGGGGTACTATGAGTGGAGCTGCTTTCCTCTATCTCTGGTCAAATCCTGGCTCTTTGTGTATTGCAGAACTGCACTGGGTGGTATTTCTCAGGCCTTCTCTCTCTTGTTGGGGTGAAGATGGACTTGGAAGATGGAGTTGGAAAGGGATTTGGGCACCATGGGCACCCTCCTGGGTAGGCTGGACTTACATCATTGACCTGAGTTTGTTTTATGAAAGACCTCTCCCCTCTGCCCTCTGGAGACAGTGGCTTCAGACCCTTGTCCTTTCCATTACCCCTAGTCCTGATGTCTCCCAAGTCTGATGGTACCCACCCATCTCAACTACAGCTGCCATCTTTGCCATCTCAGGCAGCCTACAGGTAGGGGCTGTGTCCTTGGCCCTCTTCTGAAAAAAAAAAAAAAAAAAAACACACACACACACACACAACCTATTTTTTTTCCTTCACTTTTGCTTTTTATTCCTTTCACCTCAGGCCCAATGGATATAATTTTTTTCTTTAATGGAGGTTGTCTCTTACAGAGGTTTCATTGAAAAAGAAGAAACAACGTCACATTAACGTCATTTAAAGAAAAAGCACCTCTCAGAATGGAGGTTGGGAAAGCTAGGGTTTCCTGCCTGAATATCAGTTCCTCTATTGAAACGAAGGGATGAAATCCCTTGTAAGGAACTCAAGAGAGGAGCGTTTCCTCAAAATGCTTTCTTTAGCTCCTGAGTCTCCTTAGGTCTACACTGGGGTTGTGTGTAAAAATACCAAGCCCTCCCTGACAATGCATCTCCTTCTCTTCTGCTTGAATTATCCTGATAATGAGAGTTCACCCACTTCTTTGACAGTGTAGACTAGGATTTTAAAAATTGGAAGTGAATTATTGGACAGTGTGACACTTTACCAGATTCCCTCAAGGTTCTAGACCTACGCTAAAGAGGGGTGGAAATGCGTCTGGGGTGTCCAAAAGGGCTGCAGAAATTCCCCATCACTGGTCATGGGGAGAGCAGGAGGATTGGCTTCCCTCTGTGGCCTATTCTGCCTCTGAAGGTGACAATTCCTGATTTGAGGCACTAGGGTGGAAGATCCAGGACTATCCAGGACCAGGTTAATAAACTGGCAGTCCAGATTCCAGAAGGGCAGCAGCTGGGGACTGGAGACATGCCCATGCCTGTGGGACAGAGTTCTTTTGCATGCTTTGGACTTTACAACTCTGTATCCTTGACAAGTCACAGGCATCTCTGGGTGAAATGGGGACAATAGTACCCATACCTCCAAGGGTTATGTGAGAATTAAATAAAATATACAAATAAAGTGCCTGGCATACAATAGGCACTGAGCAAATGGTAGCTCTTTTTTCCAGGCTGGGGCAAGGGATGCATATAAATGTCTGGATCCGAAGTTTGAAATTCCACCTGCTGGAGACAGTGAACACCCCAATAGATACCCCAAATCGCACTGAAGGACGGATGATGGGCTTCTTTCCTCCCCCAGGGCATGCCATACACACTGGGTCTGAAGTGGGAGAATCGGCACCCCAAAAAACGGCTTGTGGAGCGGGGTTGCACATGGGTGTAAAGTTCCCAGCTTGGCTGCCTGGGGAGGGGGACACATAAATGTCTTTAGAGATTTGAAGGGAGCAGGATCTGGACTGACTTGCGTTGCCAAGACGGCTGGGGCTGGGAGCCAAGGGGGTGCTGCCGGGAGGCCCGCGTTAGCTTGGGGTATGACATTTCTAACATACCTGGCGCCTGCGGAAAATGACCTGGGGTTCCAGCTCTGGAAGGTTCCGAATCTCAGGATTCACGAGTGGTGCTGTCCAGAGCAGCCAGGGTTGTCCCGAGGTGGTCTCGGGCAGGCTTTCCACGATGTGCTGTCTGGGTCGCAGGTGAGAACCTCATGGTTCTCCATTTCCGGAACTCCAGCTCTGAGCAGGCAGAGGGGCGCTGCCCTCGCTTGCCCCTGCGGTAGCCAAGCAGGTGGCTGGAAGCATGGCTAGCTGGCGGGTAAGGAGCTCCGGGTGAGACGGAACAGCCGGAGACCCCCAATCCCCTTAGCTGGTGCCCCACCCGATTTCTCTCCTGCGTCCTGGGAGGGCATGGTTGAGGCGCCACCAGTGACCAGCAACCTCCCCAGGCTGTGGTTGTGACCTGAGGACGCGTGTGTCTCCGCCCCCAGGCCAACGCTAGGCGACCCTGAGTGCACCTTCAAGAAGGCCTGGCATGTTTCTGGGCGGTCGTGGGGGGTGCCTGATATCTTGGCTCTGTTTTACAGTTACTCCCCTGCTGGTGCCTCCCTCCTTGGCGTGGTTTCTGCCTGCGATCAGCGCCCTCTTCGCAGTCACGAACTCGCCAGAAGCTAGCAGCACTTACTAGTAGGAGGGCCCACCGGAGGAGAGGTGAGCGACCAGAGCCAGGGAGTGGGAGGAGGAGCTGGCTGCCCGCACCCGCACTCCGCCCCAGATGGCTCAGAGAGTGGGCTGCGGGTTGGGAGGTTGGGAAATTCCAGGATCAGGTTGGTAGTGCGCCTATGTTTTTACCTGGGTCACCAGCAAGACTACTCCCCTCCTCCCTAGGCCCGGATCCAATGTCATCCCTCACCCTCAACCTGTGAAATGGCTTTAACCATACACCTGCTGGCTTGTTGTGCTCTATGACATAATTTGGCAGAGCACGGCGTGTAGCACACAGTGGGCGCAAAGTAAATGGCGGCTCTGGCGGTTCTAGCACCGGAGGCGGCTTCTTGGACACCCGGCGTTCGCGGGAGCCTGAGGCGCTCGGTTGCTAGAGCCTTAGCTGGGAGTGGCGTGGCTGCTTCCCGCCTGCGCAGGACCAGGCCGGCCCCCGCGGAGCTCAGGGCCTGGAACCGCACTCCCCACCCAGAGCTAGGGAAACGGGAAAAAGAGGCACAAAGTCGGAAGCCGCAGTACGGCAAGAGCCTAAGCAAAGAATCCTTTCCAAGCATTCACACCTTGTCTATGCCAGGGCACCGCCTGGGCCTACGGCCTTCGCAACCTGAAGCGCCCGCAGCCCAGAGCTGGCATCAGGCCGGGAAGGTCGTCGCAGGCCCCAGAGTGCGGGCACTGGGGCGCGCGCCCACTGGCCGCCCGGGGCTGGGGAGGCAGGAGGGAAGGACGCCGGCAGGCCCGCGGCTGTTTCCCCTCGGCCCGCGCCGCGGACCCGGGAGGCCATTTTGAGAGCGCGAAGAGGGGCGGCAAGATGGCTGCGTGGGCACCCGGGAGGTCACCGCGCCAAGGGCCCGCCGATCCCCTCCTCGCACTCGTCCAGCCGCGCGGCCCACGGAAGCGGAACGCGCGTCGAGCGCGCCCTGCCCGCTCGCCCCAGACAGATGCCCCGTTATTCATTACCCCGAGGCCTAGAGGAGCGAATGGCTGCCGTCTTCCTGCCCACAGGCAGCCGGACCCTCCGTCGCGGCTGCCCGGTCCCCGGAGCCGCAGCCGCCGAGCCCGGCTGTGCGTGTCGTGGCTGCTGGGGAGAAAGGCGTCCGGTAAGAGCCCTCCTCACTGGGCTGCCCGCCCCGGGCAGGGGCGGAAACGGCCTTCCCCGCGTGGGGAACAATGGCGTTATTTTGGAGTCTGCAACCGAGAGCGCTTCGAGCTCTTTGATTATTTTCGAGGAGTGCTAGGTGCGTGGCTAACGCCCTCGTTTTCTTGGAACCGCGAAGCCTGACTTGGCGAGCCGCCCTCCTGGGGCTGAGTGTGGTCCCAAGTGCAAGGATAGCCACGGGCCAGGGAGCCGTGGGCTTTGAGACCCGGGCAGGAGCTGGCGAGGGCCTCCATGGTCCGTGTGGTTGGGTCTGAGGACCGGCCGGGAGGCTCCATTCACACCATCCCAGGGCAGGCTGCGGGTCAGATGCGAATGAAGCGGGCTGGGCATTGGAGCTGCATGTTTGAGCTTGCCCCCTCCAGGCCTAAGGGCCAGAGCTTCTGCTCTTCTGCCTCCTTTGCCCCTGTCCTACCCTCGTGAATAATTTAAGCACAATCACTGTTTTTCTAGCTGTCCGCACTGACCCACGGCTGCCTTGAAGCAGATCCCAGATGTGTGCATTTATATGCAGAGTGACCAAGAAACTTCAGTAATACTAGTTTGTGTCTTTGGAGTCCCGCTTTGTGCCAGGGCTATTGCTAACAGCTTCAAGAGAATTCGACCTCACCTTGACAGATAGGGTGATGATTCACTATTTGTGTCTTTTGCTATAGCTAGGATGTGGTAGAGCCGGTTGTGGACTCGGGGCTATCTGCCCCAAGGCCTGTGTTCCCAACCTGTCCCTCTGCACGTACACAGGAACACAGGGATTCATCACCGTTGTGGTTTCGTCTTTCAAATAAGCACCAAGCCTCTCCTGAATCCAAGTCCTCATCCCCACACAGCCCTGCCTCCCAAGTGAGGGCTCTCCTGTCATCCCCCAACCTCCCAGTCTAAAGCCCTGGCCTCAGATTGTGTGACTGAATAATGTGATTATTCTGAGCTTCCTGGCAGCCACGAAAAGAAAACATGATGGTGATAACCTTGTTTTTAAAATGAAACTCATCAGGATTTTAGAGAGATGAACGTTTTTCCTGCATGAGGCTTATAGAAAATGTAAAGCTTAGTGGTTATGTAGGTCAACTGCTCATGTCACTGATGAGGAACCAGGTCCAGAGAGGTTAAGTGATTTTCACCAAGGTCACAAAATTAGCTAGTACAGTGAGGACTGAGACTCAGGGGTCCTGACTCCCAGTCCAGTTCCCATCCTCTCATGAGCAGGCTTTAGTGGGCTTCTCAACTTGGAGACAGTTTAATTGTGGTCTAGCGACTCCATTCCTCACTATAAATTGCTCAGACCTGGATGCTGCCTTGTTCCTTTCTTTTCTCCCAGTTCCTAGTGCTGGGCTGGACTCATCATTGTGGGTGTCTCTAAATATTTGATAATTGAATGGGGCTAAAACCTCTGATAATGAGGGTATGGGGGGGGTGGTGGTAGAGGGGAAGTCCCTGACTTCAGTTTTCTAGGGGGCCTTTATTTTTTTAATGTTAGGTTCCTGATCCTTAATTCCCTAGGTCTCTCTCCTGGCAAGTGGTACGAGGTGGGTTGTGTGTTTTCCCTTTTGGCAGTCATCCTATTCTGCCCCATCACATTATTGGACCTTATAGGAAAGGGTCATTTGTCTCTTGGGGGACTATGTTGTCAGTAACACCTGCAAGTCCCTTTAGGTGAACCAAGGGAGGTTTCCCCACCAGCACAGTGGCCATGAGACCTGGCCGACTCATTTTTTTTGTCCTCTTTGGGTGGAGAGACAGCCTTTCTGTACTTGCTCAGGTTTGATTCCCACGGCTTAAGTACAAATCACAGAATGTGGCTTAGATTAGTAAATTTCCGTGGCTCCCAAAAGGTAGCATTTGAATCCCTGGCATGATAACTGTAGGTGCTGAATAAATTTAGTGACCTGCAGCAGACCAGATTCTCTAGAATTCTAGGCTGGAAAAGTGTCACCCCTGGGTGTGGGGAGGGTTGTGCTTCTTGATGGGAGTCCCTGTTGGCAGAAAAGCTCCAACAGATCCTGGCCAAATTCTGTCGTCTTTGGGTAGAATCTGCATGAACAAAGCAGAGTAGGTAACTAGGGCTGGTTTGCAGCTAAAGCCCCAGCTGTGGAAGAAAAACAGGGTTCAGCTCCCCAGATTAGTTACTGTCTACAAGGATTAAAGGCCCCAAATAATGGCTGGCTTCTCCCCTCCTCTGTGCCAAGGGAAGACATGTAAATACAGCCGCACGCCAGCTTAGGCAGTAGATGTGTATAAATCGAATTTAGCAAATCAGATCATGGTTTAAATGCACTATTTAAAGCAGTCCTGCAGTGAAGCCTTTTACAAAGGGAATAATCATTTTGTGATGCTAATCATCAACCTCCAATTTATCTCCTTTGTAAGTTCAGATGTTGGTGCACTGGGTGTTCCGAAATTGGGGCGCTCTTGCGTAGGGCTCTGGTGATGGCTGTCTGCCTTCTTTTTCTGACCTCTTATTTTAAATGGGTGCATGTCCTGTTTCACTGGGGGCCTCAGGATGCTTGTCATTTAGCCTGATAGTTCTCATCCATCCCACTTGTCTTTTTATAATCTGATAGAGCCCACCATTCAGCTGCTCCTGGCTCCTTTTTTGAGATTTTTGCCTTTCCTGGGGAGAAATACAAGCCCTGCTGTTCTTGGGGTGTTAAAACCAGCTCCCTCTCTGATCTGAACCGTCTTTTGTTTCCCTGAGCTTCTGGTACCTCTGGTGCAGATCAGAAAGATGATCTTAGAGTTGACTAGATAACACAAATCAGCCCTGAATTTAGAAGGCGAATTAAATGCAGCCACCCATCTGCTGAATAGGCAATATCCAAAATATTCTCCCCATTCACGGCAAAATAACTGAGGCCTGGATGTTAAAGGGACTTTTCCCACAAGTTAAAATCAGGACTCCAAGGAGAACCTGTCTCCCAATTGCTATAGAAGTGTTTTATATGCTGAGCTGTAGTTCCTTTCTCTACAGAGAAAATATAATCAGAGACCATCTGGGTGGGAGAGAAAGAATGAAGAGAAAGAAATGGATCAGAGTGGAATAAAGGAAGTGGGCAGGAAGCTGGGGGGCTTCGAGGAGCCTGACCTTGCTTAGCTTACAGGCCCTGATATAGTGTCTTTGTCAATGCTGCCACTATTGACGCGTTCCTCGGTAATTATGACTGTGTGTTGGCATGGCGACTCGGAGTAAGAAGACTAGAAGCACTGGGTAAATGCACGACTTGTTCTTGCCTTCTAAAGCAGAGAGGAGCTTTTGTGGGTAGTTCCTACAGGGATACACGGTAGAAAATTCACCAGACCCAGTGCTGGAGTATTTACACCCCATAGGAGCCAGGTAGCCCTGAGCAGAGATTGTACAAACAGAGGTCCTTAGCAAGACTGGCATCTAATGCAGAGGTCTCCCAGAGCCTCCCTCTTGTGTCTTCCTGTTGGTCTTTGTTCCTTAGCCTTGTAATGTCAAGTATATTCATTTCTGCTCCTCTCTGGGTTGTCTGCTTCAAAATAGGTTTATGTTGCAGTCTCCCTGAATTTGATTGATCATAAAATTATCTATTTCATAGGCCATGACTGTGTATTTGGAAGCTGAAGAGAAAGGCTGATGGGCACAGCTGGGACTTCCCTTTCTATCCTCTTGCCCTTTTCTTAGATACTTGGACCACATTCTCATCCTCATCTGAAAATGGGGAGAGGTTGCTATTGTCCAGAGCTGTGCTGTCCTGTATGATAACCACTAGACACCCATGCTGTTGATCTCATGAAATGTGGTCAACGTGGCATGTTGAAATGATAATGTTGGGTTAAGTACAATATATTGTTAAAATGACATGTTCATTCTTACGTT